TGACTATATACAATCTGTATTTAATTATGCATTATTTTAAAAGATCAGTATAAATACAATACCTAAACAAGAAGAGAAATATACATATCACAAAATTTGACCTTAAAGTTGTATCAATAAATGAAAATCCATACCAATACAAAGTATTCATTTCTATATTCTATTTCCCTTTTTTCCTTTAAAAAGAGATTGACTGTGATCATTACCATTTATAAACAACCCAATTTAAATGAAAACAAACATTTATAAGCCATATTTAGGAACTTGGGTGCCATTCATTCCAAACTGCTTCCTGCTGGTTGGGGGTGATGTCCATACCATGGGTCTCATGATAAAACACAGAAATCCTGGCTGTAGTCATCTATGACTGTATCATCTCAGCTGCTTTGGATGTAGGATCAGTTGGACCATTTCTTCAGGGGGTCTTGCTTGATCAAACCATATTAGTCTGGAAGGAATCCATAGCTTTCCATTTTCTGTGGAAACACAAGCAAAAACTCTTTTCCCAAGGAACCTGTCCTTATATTTAAATTTATAAGTCAAAGCATTTTTAAAAATATAAGTTGGGTTAATTTAGCAGCAAATGTCTTGTAGCGGTTGTTGCTCCTTCCCCAGCAATTAAAGAATTCAAAGACAACACAATAGCATACAGTATCCAGACTCTCTGTGTATTTTCCATCTTTATGTAGCTTTTTTATTATTCTATTTCTTTTACTTCCTCTTTTATTTTTCCTGAGACAGGGTTTCTCTGTGGAAATCTGCCTGCCTCTGCTTCCTTCAGCAAATCCTACCATTGTGCGCCACCACCACCACCACCGGCTTCTCTTTCTTTCTCTCTTTTAATTACTTTATCCTGTTTCTTTTCTCTCACAAGCCTACATATATTTTTAAACACACTATAAACTTTTAGAGGTTTTTCTTCATTTGAATCTGTCTTCACTGTAAATCTTTACCTTTTTCTAGCTAACCAACATTGCTAAAATGAAAGCAGAGGCTGTTTAGCCACTGTCTTTCCAAGATGGGGGTAGTACATTTACCACCAGCACTGAGAGCTGTTCTCACTGCCTTGATCTATGCTGCCATCAAGGAGCATGCTTCCGGCTTGGAGATGTGGTCACTGTCACTGCCAGCTGCTCATACACACCATTTAATTGTCAGCAAGAGTCCTGCATTTTTTTCCACTTATGCTGAATCATGCCACTCTTAAAGGATCTGTGAACCTCTACTTGTTTCTGGCAAACAGAGACCACCCAAGAAAATGCTGCTACCAAGAAGTTGTGCTTGTCTCTATTCTTCTACTTCTAAAATCCCTTTTTTAGGCTTTTGTGAAGTTTTTATGTGGAAGTTCGTAAAACCATGTCCTGACACCATTTTGTAATGATAAATCTTTCTGTCAAGCTGCCCAATCCCCATGTGGGCACCCAGAATAACACACAGAGACTAATATTAGGTACAAGGCTGGCCAATGACTAGGATTTCTTATCTACTAAGTCAGTCTTAATTATCAACGACAATTACTAATCTATATATTTTACAAGAACTTATCTTATTGAGGATGCCGGCCATATGTGCCCTCTCTTGCCAGTGATCACATGGCGACTACAAAGAAGAGAGGAGGAGCAGGAAGAGGGCAATTTCCTGCTTGTCCCTGCTTATATTCTAAGTCTGCCTGCCATGTCACTTCCTGCCTGGATCACAAGACTTCTCTTACTACATTTCCCAGAATCCTCCTCAACTCCTAGTCTTGCCTAACTTGCTTCTCTACTGGCCAACAGTACTTTATCAATCAATAAGACAAACATATACACAGAAGGACCTCCCCCATCAGGTTCCTTTACAAAATTTTCAACCTCATATCCCTCATACAGCACAGGTTCCTGCTATGCTGCCCAGAGGTGCTTCTCCCTCTTGCATCTCAGACTATGCTTCTGCTCTCACACTGTAACCCCAGCATCATACTCTATTTTACTTTTGAACTTTCTACTCAGTGAAGACTGTTCTACGCGCGCGTGCGCGTGCACACACACACACACACACACACACACACACACACACACACACACACACACC